AGTTGCAGGATCTGCCTTTTTTTTTTTTTCTTTCTTTCCACGATTCATTAGATTTTCTCTAGCTTTCTTTTCGGTCATACTTTGGCTAGATTAGTCATTCATTTTAACTCCTTGTTCTTACTCTTATTTGACAGGACTAACACCATTGCTGCAAATTTAACTGGCTATGAAGAACGAGAGAGAGAGAGAGAGAGAGAGAGAGAGAGAGAGAGAGAGAGAGAGAGAGAGAGAGCAACAGATTGTCTCTGTTGCCCTTTATACAGATGATCTCTGGCAGAAGATGCATTTTACCTTTGCAAGGGCTGAGAGCTAAAAAAAAAAAAAGGGGGGGGGGTGCTACCGGTTTACTAATAGAGGCCAAAGTCCTTCTAGATATACTACAATGTACGGGACAGCCCCACAACAAAAAATTACCCAACTCCAAATGTCAGCGGTGCTGAGGTCGAGAAAACTCTGAATTATAGTATATTCAAAAGGCCAAGAAAGTGTACATTGCAACTTCTCACTAGGCCTGAGGTTTGTGTCAATTCTCTGAAATTATCTGTGACATCTCGGATGATGTGGCTGACCCAAATGGGTGAACTTCTGCTGTGGGCTTTTACACGGCCTTGCCTACGAGTTCAAAGCTGCAGTTCACTCAGTACTAGACCACTCACAGGTTCTAACCACAGTGCACAAATCCAGCCACCCTGTGTGACTCGCAGGTCCTTCCTCATGGGGTACACACGAGGACTTTTCTTGTTTGGGAGTTGTGAACTATGATGAGACAAAAAAAAAAAACAGCAAGAAGGAAAGTAGAAGTAAAAAAAAAACAATGACAGAGAATGAAATTCCACCGTTGAGAGGGAGTGAGAGCGAATGCAGATGAAGAGAGGGGTTGTTCAATGGACTGAACCAGATCAGCGTTTGTTAAAAGAGTTGCCTGCCTTATTTGATTTCTGTATCCAGGAGTCACTGAGGATAAAGAGAGAAGGTGGAAGGGGTTAAGAAACTTGAACATGGGTCCCCTGAAGGTTGAACCTGAAAAACCTCGAAGGCAGAACTATGAAAATGAAAAGAGAGAAAACCCACACAGGGGGTGAAAATGGATCAGACTTTCTTTCCTTAATTTTAATCACAAAAGACACAAGAGCCAGAGGAGAGTTACTGGTTATGATGGGGAGGGGTTGATCTAGCAACTAGGATGGAGTGGATCAAAGGAAGTGCAAGAAAATGCAGTCTCTGGTGGAGAACCCCTTCCACACAGAGACACACTCAAGAATATGCAAACATGTATATACACACACACATATGCATACATGTATGTATATCTAAACAAATAAATATATACAAATGTGTATATATATATTTGTTCATTTCAAGGCCACACCAGGCAGTGCTCAAGGCTTAACTCCTGGCTCTGTGTTCAGGGATCACTTTTGGGGGGCTGGAGGGACCATATGTGGTGCCAGGGATCGAACATAGGTTGACCCTGTGCAAGGCAAACATCCTACCCACTGTCCTACCGCTCCTACCCAAGAATATAGATTTGTCATGTCGAACTTCTTGAAAGTTTACATGCTATCCTTGTCAGAGCCATGGTAATCTCAGAGTCATCCCAATTTTATTACGTGCAAGCAGAGTGAGACTACAAAAAGGTGTCCCCCCCCCCCCAACTTCCAGGGTTAATGGTCTCTCTCTCTCTCTCTCTCTCTCTCTCTCTCCATCCTGTTACTTATTTATTTATCTTTCTTATTTAGCCAAGAAGAAAAATTTGAATTTTGCTTCCACCATGTGGAACCTGCAGGGCCAGAATGCCAGTTTAAGCAACTTGGCCGTGGCAAGGTTTAAGGCAAGGTCCAGATGTCAGCCAGCCCTAAGCCTATCATCTAAACACAATAAGCAAGTTTGCTCTGAATGAGGAAGAGAAAGAAAATGCTCCAGTTGGATAGTGGAAGGGAAGTTGTGTTATGGACCCAGTTTATGGGCAACATCCCGCTATGAACTGTGTTCGCAGAGCGTTATCTGTGGACTCACAGCTCGGGTGGAAGAGAGGCAAACAGAGTCACGATGCCGCTGCTGTAGGCGTCTTCAAATCCTCACTCCATCTTCAATGCTCTCATTTAAAGGAGAGGAGAAAGAACGGTTTGGAAAAGTTGCTCACTGAACTCCAGGTCACTGGGAATTAGGGACAGAGGTTGGTCTTGGGATGCCCAATTAGCTCCTGACCATGGTGCATTGTCTCAAAGCGGGCGTGTGGAAGAAAGAAAGAGGGCAGGGAGCAGGTGAGTGGGAGCCGGGCTGTCCAGGTGACCAGGGCTGGAGGGAGACGAGGAAGTGAAGGGCATAGGGAAAGGACACCTAAGCTGGCGACAGGGGGTGGTCGGAAGGGGGCTGGTTCATTTGCTTCCAAGCCACATAAGGAGACGATTTGGGGGCACACAGCGGGGAGGGTCCTTCACGCAGGGTTCTGGCGCCTGTTTCTGCCCGGGTGATGAGAGATATAAGGAATACCCACGGCTGGAGCTGCAGCTCTTTTTCCAACAGCACTTGAGGTGGGGAAACTAGTACAAAGGGTTAGGCGTTGGCCTTACACATGGCCCACCCAGGTCCGATCCCTGATACCCCTAAGAACGATCCCTAAGCATTGAGCCAGGAGTAAGCCCTGCACACTCCCTGGTGTGCCTCCCTTCTCCCAACCAAAAAGAATTCTTTGCCGTCACTGATTTGGGGCAGGGGGCTTCCAAGCAACACTCCGGGGGCCCAAGGGCTGGTGGATCAATGCTAGGGTTGACCCTGTGGTGCTGGGGAACACCCAGGCATCCGTCGAGAGGCTCTAGCCTGTGAGGGTTTCTCCAAGCTGCTCTGAGGTCTGCAGGGCTCCATGTGTCGAGTGGGGGTCGAATACATGCAAGGCAGACACCTTTATTAGCTCTCCAGACACACGTCGCCTCACCCCTGCACCCCTTAGCTCTCTGGAAGTCATTACTGTTTCTCAGGAAATACTGATTGTTGTTGAACCCCCTGTTTTGTGCCAGGTACCATCGCAGGCCATGCAGCTAGAGTAGTAAGATAGTAACTAGTGAATAAGGTAAGGGGCGCTTTCATTCTGGAAGTTGCTGTCTGGGAATACAAAACTGTAAGCAACTGTGACAATCTCTGATCACCTTAAGTGAGTGTAGAGAAAATAGGGGGTGGTGTCAGAGTGGATGGGGGGGACCCACTTTAATTGAGGGGACAGTGTCAGGAAAGCTTTGAGGAAGTGACAATCGGGCCAAGACATCAGAAGTCAACAACCCACTATGCAAAGAGTCAGGCCCTGAGACGAGGGGTGAGCACAGACCCACGAGGGCGAGGGGGCGTTAAGGAACGCACACTCGGTGAGCGAGCAGATTCCGGGGAACTGAGTCCAAATGCGGTCAGATGAACCAGCTGCAAACTGCATATTAAAAGCATGTTGGTCTCCTACTAGGTGATGCAGGACACGCTGGGTACCAGATAAAAAAAATTCAGCTCCGGGGTTCTGTCCCCAAGGAAGAAAAGATGCTGTTGAGTGAGGCTGACACTGGCTCGCAACCAACTGCAGGGCGAACCACGCCGAGCAGGGGCCAGGAGCCTGGCAGAAGTCAGCTGGCAAGCCAAGCGTGCACCTGCCGAAAACCGTGATCGGAAGGCGAGGACACACCAGAAATCCAGAGCCACGCCCTGTGGTCTGCGACCGGGACATCTGCTTCCCCGGGGCCGGGGGTCAGGCCGCCCCAGACATGAGTCACCGAGCGCACCTTTCCCCACCGGCTGGGGCTTCTCGGTCTCCGTGGGCGGGGCGCGGCCAGAGGAATCCCCCTGCCGGGGCCTAAATCTGTCGCGCCCAGGAAACCCAGGCGCCTGCTTTAGCACCTGATTCACCCCCGAGGCAGTCGAGGCAGGGCGGCGACTGCTGGTAACAGCCCCCTCGTCCCGCTTGGCTCCCTACCGGGGAAAGACCCGCCGGAGTTTTCAGCAGCCGGGCCCGGGACGCGCCGCTCTAGAAGGGGGCGGGGCTGCGGTCGCAAACCCCGCCCCCACGGCCAGTCACTGGCCTGGGGGAGGCGGGGCTAGACTCCCCGGCCCCGCCCCCTCAGCCTGGCTCGGGCCGCTAGACTCACAGGCCCCGCCCCCTCAGCCAGGCATCGGCACCAGAGGAGGCGGGGCTAGACTCTCCGGCCCCGCCCCCTAAGCCTGGCTCGGGCCGCTAGACTCACAGGCCCCGCCCCCTCAGCCAGGCATCGGCACCAGAGGAGGCGGGGCTAGACTCGCAGGCCCCACCCACGTAGCCGGGCTCCAGCTGCTGGAGGCGAGGCTAGACTCATAGGCCGCGCCCCCTCAGCCAGGCATGGGCCCGAGGGGGCGGAGCTATCCCCGAAGGCCCCGCCCATGCAGCCAGGCACCGGCCAGAGGGGGCGGAGCTAGCCCCTCAGGCCCCACCCACATAGCCAGACTCCAGCCGCTGGAGGCGAGGCCAGACTCACAGGCCGCGCCCCCTCAGCCAGGCATGGGCCCGAGGGGGCGGAGCTATCCCCGCAGGCCCCGCCCATGCAGCCAGGCACCGGCCAGAGGGGGCGGAGCTATCCCCGCAGGACCCGCCCATGCAGCCAGGCACCGGCCAGAGGGGGGCGGAGCTAGCCCCGCAGGCCCCGCCCCCAGCCGCGGGGGCTCCGGGCAAGCGGCCGCTGCGGCTCGGGCTGCGCGTGCGCGCTCGGTCCCGGCGGCCCGGGGAGTCGCGGTCCCCCTCGGTTCCCGCCCCCGCTGTCCCCGCACCCCGCCACATACCGACGGTCCCCGTGCTTGCACACGCACACACACGCATCCCCCCCCCCCCCGCCCTCCCCGGCTCTGGTTCCCGCAAGGGCGGGTCGCGGCCACCCGCGCATCCCGCGACTACAAGTCCCAGGGAGCCGGCGGCGGGGGTGGGGGGCGGGGGGGACGCTCCGGGGCCACCGCGCGGCCTCTGCCCGCCGGGAAGTCCGGGGGCGGGCCCCGCGGGAGCGCTCGGTGGCCCCCGCCGGGCCCCCGGAGGAGCCGCCGGGCGAGCGCGCGGGCGGGCGCGCGCGTGTCCCGGTTGTGCAGCCCGAGAGTCCTCCCCGCCCGCCCCGCGCGCTCCTCCCTCCCTCCCCGCGTCCCTCCCTCGTGCTCGTCGCCCTGAGTCGCGCGGGTGAGCGGCCGCCACCTCCTCGCCCGCGGGTGCCCGCTCGGCTCGGCCACCATGGGGAATGGGATGAACAAGGTAACGTGCTTCGCGCTCGCGGGGGGCTGCGCGCCGCCCACCCCCTCCCGCCCCGGCCCCCGCGGTCCAGCCCGGGCGCCCCGGGAGCGGGGAAAGCCCCGACGGCGCCCGCCCTCCCCGCCCCCACCGCTGTCAGTCACCCCAGGTGCACCCCTGCCCCCGCCCCCCGCCCCCCGGACCCGCGGCCCGCGCGGCCGGGGCCCGCGATCGTCCTGTCCAGCTCGTTGGAGCCGGCCCCGCCGCCGCCCTTTCCCGGCAGGCGGTGACCCCGCTGCCCGCCGGTGCGTTTTGCGGCCGGGAACTTGCGCGCCCTTTAAAAGCGTTGACACTTGTGCCCGGGACCTCAGCTGAGAAGGGCTGTGGTTTCTTCTTCTTCTTCTTCTTGTGCTTCTTCTTTTTTTTTTCTTCTTCTCTTTTCCCCTCCCCTTGACTCCCAGGCTCGGCTCTTGAAGCATCCCCACCACCCACGTTACTAGTAAGCTGGAGTGCAGAGTGGTCTGTGATTTCCTCTTTCTCCTGTGTGTTTGTGTGTGTGTGTACAGATGAGGTTTTGGTTTTTTTTTTTTTTGATCGTTTTTTTTTTCCTCTCTTGACGCACAGAGAAGTTGACAAACGCCCCAATCTGGATGTGTTTTTAAAAAATACCTAGGGAGGGCTCAGGGCAGGGGGTGGGAGCACCTTCCACGCTGATTTCCTGCTGGACCCCTGCCCTCCTGCTGCAGGGACACCTGTGGAGCACCTGCAGGGCCCTTACTCCTTCCACCAACCACCTCGCTCTTCTCTCTCTCTCTTCTCTCTGTCTCTGTCTCTGCTGGGCCCCACTCTCGCTCACCACCTTGCTCTGCCTCTGCCTCCACCAGCCTTCGATGATTCAGTCCCTCCTCTCCTGGCCCTGGAGGTGCCAGATTCCAGCGCTCACCGTTGAAGGGGTGCCTGGAGCCTGTTTTTGTATATATATATAAAACTTCATATATACAAGCCCCACCTGCACCCCAGGAAAGCCAAGTGCCTTTCCCCAAGACTTTGAAATGGTCCTGGGAGAGATGATCCTTGGTCAGCTTCCTTTCCCTGCAGGATTCCTGGTTGTCTGGCTCTAACAGGGTGCGGGGTGGGGTGGGGTGGGGTGGGGGGATTCTCACTCATTTCACTGCTTAGGTCAGCAGGTTTTGTTCTTTTGAGCTGGAGACTGATTAGAGAGAAAGAGGTTAGGAGTCCAGAAAGTTTAGGGAAGGGAAGGAAAGCATGTGTTTGAGTGTGTAAGAGAGAGAGAAACAGAGACAGAGACAGAGAGGAGAGAGAGAGAGAGAGACAGACAGAGTGAGAGCGAGAGTGAGAGCGCCTGTGTTTTCAGGGTACTTATCCCTGGGTAGACAGGATGTTCTCTTAGCACTGTTTCCACCAGCTTCATCAGCCCTTGAGCCTTTTGCTTTTTTTTTGGGGGGGGGGCGCACCCGGCAATGCACAGGGGTTACTCCTGGCTCAGTGCTCAGGGGTCCCTATGGGATGCTGGGAATCGAACCCGGGTCGGCCGCGTGCAAGGCAAACACCCTCCCAGCTGTGCTACCGCTCCAGCCCCGAGCCTTTTGCTTTCTAAAGAAATAGCCTCTATGTTCTGTTTGCCTTCCCGTTTATTGTGGCCATACCGTGGCTTTCCTTTGGTTCTTTTTACAATTTTTCTACGTGAAGGCTATTTATGCTTCTTTCTTGCTGCATCTAGCTTAACTGTATTGTAGTATTATAATACTATTATTATAATTATTATATTATTATTATTACTATTATTATAATTATTATTATAATAATATTATTATTATAATATTATTCCTCTGCCCCTCTCGGAGAGCCCGGCAAGCTACCAAGAGTATTCGATATGCCAGACACAGTAACAACAAAGTCTCCAATGGAGATGTTACTGGGCCCGCTCGAGCAAATCAACGATCAACGGGAGGGCCTTTACCTTTACCTTTACCTTTTATTATAATTTGAAGAACCTAATGAGGAATACAAATGATGACCCAAGGGGTCAAAGTACATTTCAGGCTTTTCTGCCAAAGCAGGGATAATCCATATTATGATTTTTTACCTTTCAAAGAAAGGCCTAAATTTCTAACAGTGTTATTCACACAAACATTTTCTTAATATAAATATCATCACTGTTGCCAATGCAAAGACAGAGAAACAGATTTAGAGACTTCAGTAATTCCACAGATATTTATTGGGTATGTACGTACTTTTATCTGGATGGAATTCTAGTTGAGGAGAATGGAAATGATTCTAATACTAAATGCCACAAAGGGCCTTCACAGAATCCTCAGTACAGACCAACACTTGCCCCAACAGAAATGTAACGTGACACATTTATGTAAATTAAAATGTAATGGCCACAATAAGATATGTCAAAAGCAGGTGAACTTGATTTTAATGATACAATGTATTTCTTTGGAATACACATGGAATATTGATAGTTTGAATGTCGCCAATATATAAAATGATTCATGGACTGATTTAAGTGTCGTGGTCCCAAGTCTTCAAAGTGTCTCTGATTTCAATTCCTTTTCTTTGGGGATTGGCTGTGTTTTGAGTCCTCGGTAGTCTGTGTGGCTTCCGGGGCCTGGGTTGCACACTGTAGCTCATTTGGGCCACGTAGATATCAGGGACTTTATGCAGCTCAGATCAGAATGGCCGTCATTCCACAAAGGACCTCTCTGGAAGCAGAGACTCGGAGGCATTGTCCAGAGTAGCGGGATTGAATTAGTGGGAAGCAGATTGCTGGAAGCCAGAAATGAAAAGCCAGAACTAGATTCGTTCCATGGTTGACTGTGTAACATGAAGTTAGACTTCATCTTCCCCCCCGTTTATTTCTTGTTTTAAAGTTCGTTTTGGAGAATCGGTGGGATTATTGTCAGGTACTCATCACAGAAAAGCCTTTTTCTTTTCTTTTTTGAGTCACATCTGGCGATGCACAGGTGTTACTCCTGGCTCATGCACTCAGGAATCACTCCTGGCAGTCTTTGGGGGACCATATGGGATGCGGGGAGTCCAACCTGGGTTGGTCGCATGCAAGGCAAATGTCCTACCCGCTGTGCTATCGCTCCAGCCCTGGAAATGCTTTTTGGAAACATTTATAAGTAAAAACGCGCCATGTCTTTGGAACCGAACACCTCATGGGACCGAAAACCTCTGTGCGTGGGTCTGAGTTTCCCAGGACTAGTTGCCCATCCCGGGCAAAAGAAAGCCAATGAATTATCTGACTTGATTTTGGTTTGGCTTGGGGTGCTGCGGGTGGGGTGTGATACCCCTGGCTTTCTGATCAGGAGTTGTTTCGGGAAATGCTTGAGCGAGGATGTAGCGGCAAAGATTGAACCCCCGAGAGCCCGCTGGCCAGGATGCTCTCAGCCTGCTGAGCTCTCTCCTAGCTTGTCTGCCTTCCGCAGACAGAGCAGTTCTTATTTAATTTTCACATCTTCTCGGCGGATCCTCTCATCAGTACACCCCGGACTGTTGTATGGCTGAACAGCGTGCTCTCAGGGGGGTGTGCCGGGTGCCTTAACACAGAGCATCAGGATTTACTGCGGTTTCCACGACTTGTTTGAGATGAGCAGGAGATAGAAGACAGCAGTAAGGTCTCTCACTTTGGAGCCTCTTATCACGGGGCTGTTTCATCACCCCCACGCCTCCCTGAACCCCCAGGAGGTCAGTTTGGCTTGTCCTCTTTAGACAGACTGGAAAACTGAGACTTGGCGTTGAAGTTAGTATCTGTAGGAGGTTGCTGAACTGGTCCCAGTGGCCACGGGCTTGGAAGAGAGCAGAAGTCTCCCCTGCGCGGCCGGATGCCAGCCCATCCCAGCTGCATTCTGGAGCTGCCGAGAACGAGCCTGGGAGCGCCGGGGCCTGTTTGGGGAGCTGACCACGTCCCCACTCAACTGCCCCCCCCCCCCCCCGCATAGCCCCCCAGAGCCCTGGTGGGTGGTGTTCTTTCCACCTGCTGCTTCACGGAGGAGGGCCACAGAGATTAGGTCACCGGCCTCCATTTGGCCTCCAGTCACGCAGCTGGTGAGTGGCAGGGGCCAAGCTCCCAGCCAGGTGGTCTGGCTCGCGGCCACAGCCCAGAAACGCTAAAGGGCAGTCCAGGAAATAGCTTGCATGGGGTGAGGGTTGAAGCAGGCCGGCCCTTGCATGCAAATGTCAGGTCTTCGTGGAGCCTTTGAAAACTCCAAGTTGACTCAATTTTCTCAAGGGTCTGAACCCTCAGATGGTCTATTTTGGGGGGAGGAGGAGTGTGGGGAGGCTATACCCAGTGTTGCAATCCGCAGTGCCCGATTTGGGGGCTTAAATGCCCCCATCACACCAAATAGTATCCAGGCCCAAGCTCTGTGTCAGCTTCTGATCACCCCGCAGGCAGGCCCTGGGAGTGGGCTGGACCTTTGCCATTTCTGGGGCAGGACATGGGGTCTCTCTCTGGCTGCCTGGTCTGGTGACCTCTCCCGCGGCCTGGTGCCTTGCCAAAGTGACCTGCCTGGCAAAAATGGAGACAATCCCCAGGCTCAGGCCCAGGGGAGGGACCTCTCCCCAGGCATGTCACCTCTGTAAAGACACCCTCCAGGGGGGTACAGGGAAGAGGCCCCGGGCTGCTTCCTGACCTTGCTCGGCCACCAGCCCTATGACATCCCCAGCTGCCACTTCTCAGGTGCCCGGGCCCACGGGGAACCAGCTGAGCAAGCTCGTCTCCTCTCTTGCTCCAAAATCTGTCACATGATCCTCCTGCCCTGTCCCGACTCGGATGCTTGCAAGAAGCACATGAGGATTTATCAGGGGACATTTTTCTACACTGCCCGCGTTCCTGGACTCATGCCCAGAGTGGTAACGTGGTGGCACCGATCGTGATGTGGTTGACACGTCTGTAGGACGTCTCTTCGCTCCTTGGGAACATAAAGACACAGCTGAGAACGTCGGAGCATTCCAGGGGAAAGGACCAAGGGGGTTCCAACCCTGCCTAGGCA